CTTACTCTGGTTTCATTCTTCTCTTTCCTGCCTTTCACTTACCTTTGCTGTGTGCCATGCCTCAGTGTGTACAGTAGAGATAAAATGGGGCTTGCCCATCTTGAGTTTAAGAATATTAAGTGGTTAGAGTTCTAGTCATTACAGAACCAAAATCTTCATTTCTTATTACTAGTACTAACATGCTGTAATAGTTGACAGGCTGAGCAGAAAAAAGGCTAAGTCTAGGGAAGGCAAATGTTTTTGGCAGGCATGTCACAAATTAGCTCTGCATCCTCCTTTAGTGCCACTCCAATCCCCTTCCTCTGCCCAATCTGCTGCTCTGCTTTCTGCTTCCTCCCCTATCTGCCAGTGTGCTGCTCATTGTGCTGTCCCTGATCTGCCCACTAAGTAATATTCACTGTACTGTCTTCAATACAGATCAGATTAGATTTATGAGTTTTCACAGTGAATTCATATGCCACATGAGTAGTTTCCATTTAAAATTGATCAAATATTTATCACCAACAAATAGTAAAAAGTTACTGAGGGATCATAGAAAAAGTATTTTTACTTACAGTCATTAAGGAAAAATAAATCTATTTTTACATTCCCACCCTCTTTTACTACTTAACTGACTTGTGGTCTACAATCAGCTGGTTTGCATGAAGTATTATTAAAAAAATGATTTTTGTGAGCATTTTTCTTATTTTGTGTGCTAGTGGTTAAAATACATACAGGCAGTTTCTATTTTCTCTTTTACCCTTCTTACAGTAAATCAAAGCAAAGTTCTGAGTCTTGCAAATTCTCTTATTTTAAATAGTAGCATAGAAATTCCAGACAGCTGACACCATCTTCAAGTGGACTATATTTAATCTTTCCACGTGCTTTATTTCTATTCTAGAAAGACAAAAAAAGCCAAGAATCAATTCTTAAGATAAAGTTAAAATCAATATATGCAGCTTCTGCCTACCTTCCTAACATTATTACTCTGATTTAGATGATGACACTACAGCACAGCTGTGTTCTCTCTATAATATCCTTAATTTTCTTTGGCCGATTGCTTCTCATTTGGGGTCTATAGGCTTGGAATAGGTTAAATGTGCTAATAGCATATTTGTGCAACTTTAGATTGAAACCAGGTTGGGGACAGGGACCTAGTTTTTAATTTTTTTCCTGATAGTATGAACACTAACAAACTGGGATCCTAGCCAATGCTTGGGGGTCCTAGGCACTACTACAATACAATAATTACCTGACAAAACCAGTGCTCAACATGAATTCAGTATTATGTAAAAGGCACAGCCTTTCTTTCAAGGCTCTAGATCAGGGGCAGGCAATTATTTGGGTCCATGGGCCACATAGGCAGTTCTAGGGAGCTACCATAGGCTGATCAGCACCCTCCTCGTCCCCCACAACCTCTCTCTAAAAACAGCCTGGAGCCCGCACACCACCGACAACAGTGCACAGCCCTAGCCTCAACCCCAGCCCACCCTGCCTTTCTAAGCAGCCCAGACAGTGACAGTGGTTCCTTCTGGCTGCCACTCCTGCTGGTCCCAGCCCCATGATACTGGCAGGAACCAGCACACACAACCCAGACCCCAGCTGACTCTGCATCCACTTTGGACTCAGTACGGCAAAACAGACCAGCTCCAGATCTACCGCAACCTGTGCGCACAGCCCCAACCAAGCCTGCCCCAGACTCACCTGCCTTTACTGAGCAGCGGCAGCGGCTGGACAGAATCTGCTACTTGATACAGGAAGGAGCAGCTTCCCCCTGGGCTGCCTAGAAATGAAGTCCAGCTGCAGAGCCACCCCAGCCCTGCTGTGTGCCCAGGGGGCAGCCAGATGTGCCATAGGCTGGCCGGTGCCTGGGCCAGGCAGAACCAAGGGACCCGCCACAGGCCAGACAAAGTCCCTCTGCCCACGAGCCATATTTTGCCCACCCCTGCCCTAGATGCTTTCTCTTCTCTGCATGTTGCAAGACCTATCTTTTCTCCCATTCATGCGAGGAGAACTATGGCTGATAAATGGTTTTTATCCTGACTTAGGGTATCTGATCTTGGTTATTCACACATAATTAAGAACATAAAAAATAGCCTAAGTAGTAGCATACTGAGTCAGACCAATGGTCCATCCATCCTGATACCTTGCCTCCAACAAGGAAGTAGCAGATGGGTTACAGAGAGAGCATGTAAACACCCTGTCATTCTCTTCCTGGCATACACCATCACTGGTTTAGGCATGTCAGAGGATACATCCTTAACTCATAGATTTCATAGATTTTCATAGACATTAGGGCTGGAAGGGACCTTGGAAGATGGAGTCCAGATCCCTGTCCAAAGGGCAGGAAGTCAGCTGCGGTCATAGGATCCCAGCAAGATAAGCATCCAATTTCCTCTTGAAGGTGTTCAATGTAGGTGCTTGAACCACCTCTGATGGCAGACTGTTGCGGACCTTGGGGGCTCGGATAGTAAAGAAATTCTTCCTTACGTCCAGCCTGAAATGATCTCGCAGTAGTTTATAACCGTTCGACCTCGTCATCCACTGGGGTGCTCTGGTGAACAAACGTTCCCCCAGATACTGGTGGTCACCCCTGATAAACTTATAGGTGGCCATGAGATCACCCCTGAGCCTGCGCTTTTCCAGGCTAAAGAGCCCCGTGGCTCTCAACTGTTCTATTTCATAGCTGCTAATATATCTATCATCCGTGAATTTGTCTAGTCCCTTCTTAAACTGGTGGCATCTTACAAGAATGCTTATATGCACATTTTACAAGAATTAATACAAGATTGTAAAGACACATAGATCATGGAACTGAATTAAGAGCCTTCCACACCATAAAATAATAAACTATGTCTATGAGCAGTATTGATAATTCATTCCGTTTATCCTATCAATTACAATATTTTATTCACTTTTAAAGCACTACTAAAATTTACCTCTAAAATATCAGTCCTTTATTTCTTAAAGGCAAACTTCCCAAAAGTACATAATGCTAAGGAAGCTGCCAAAAAAGCTATAAATATTGGTCAAAACTAAGCATCACCTTAGCTATGACAAAGTGATTTTGCTATTATTCTGCTTCTAGATTACTCTAATCAGAGATTGTGAAATTTCACGTCAACCTTAAACTCTTATATCTACTATTAACAGCTAATGATCAATGCTGAGATTACAAAGCAGTTTTTTATGTCATGTATGCTCATCACAAGCAGTATTTTAGGTTTCAGAACTTGTTCTACCACTATTTACTAGACTTCCAACTTGTTTAGACTTCACCTCGATGTTACTGTGTGAGCCAGCATAATATATCCAGTTACAGTGAGACACAATTGATCTTGATATACCAGTTAATGGCATATATTAAACAATAAACTGGCCACCCGATATAACCAACCCATCATTATTGCCCTAAATTTAAGTATAACTGAAGTCTAATAAAGTAAAAAGTAAAGAAAAAATAGTACAGCAATCAGGCTCAAAAATGTCCAGCTTAATCCCAGGCAAATGTATCAGTTTTTCCAGTGCGCCCCCCACCATCTACCACCTCCAACTATTATTATTAGAGGCCTAAATATCTGTACTTTACCTTTATTATAAAGGTATTAAACATGTGCTTTCTAAATAGAAATTAAAATGTGCCATTCTTACAATGAAGAATTTCAAAAAGGCAATTTCAATGTCCACATTCCCAAAGCATGTACACTTGCACAGATAACACACAATGTACGTTCCAGCTACATTGAACTGTGTAGCAATTTAAATTGTGTTTTTTTAAATGTTAAAGGCTATCAGTAAAATACTGCCAAGCCTATTACATATCAAGAAGTCTTATTGCTATCCTTAATGTTCTCTAACCTGAAGATTTATGTAAACAGTAAAAATTTCACATCTAAATTCTGGGTGGCATTCATTTTCAATCGTTTTGCAAAAGTTCTGAATTATATGTAGGGACCACTGTAATTCAGCGGTGTGGGCAAAGCAGACTCCCTGCAGGCTCACTGGAACAAATTTCAGGCATTTTTCAAGGTTGGCTCTCACACCTCTGGCTGAAGAAGCCCACCATGGGGCTGATCACAATTGGACAGCAGCACACAGGCTGATCTTCAGCTGTTTTAAGAAAGTAAAGCTCACCACTTATTAAGCAACAACTTTTAAGTAAAGCTTACCACTTAGAATTGTTAATGAAACCATAATAAACTTTATTAAACAACAACTTTCATGGCGTGCTAACTTCTATAGAATGGCACAGGTCTCGCAAGCGCTGCTCTGCCCTGCTGTGCAGACAAGGGGAGAGGGAAATTCCCCTCTGCTCCCACGTAGCAGCAAAGCCAAACAGAGCTTGGGAAAGCCATGTCAGGTGGGGGGAAGCCCCTGCAGCAAGGGGCTGCACAACTGGCTGTGGGGGCAGGCACCTGGCATGCCTATACCCGTACCCCCTAGGGCAGGGGGTACCTTACAATGCTCTGCTCTGGGCAAGGTTTTTAAATTTCCTGCCAAAGCACAGAATCAAACAACCTGATTGGCTGAGCTCTGGTAGGGGCTCAGCCTGTACTAGGCTGCCCCTGAAAACATGAGGCTTCCACAGTGTTTCCAGAACTCTGCTGCCTTTCTTCTCCATACTTCAGGTAAAATTTTTGGGTTTTTTTGTTTGTTTGGTTGGTTGGTTGGTTGGTTGGTGGGGGCGGAAGGGGGTTTAACACTTTTCTCTCTGCACTCCCTCTGCCCCACAGTTTCAGGCCTTTTCCAGCCAAATTGCAATTGGGGCTTTGGGGGAAACACTAAAATTTTCAAGCTGTCCCCTGAAATCCCCCAAAGCCTGAATTAGAGTGGCCCCTAATTATTCACCAAATGCAATACACTATGTAACCTGTCTACAGCTTCAAGACTTTTATGTAGCTTCAAGAGAAATTATAGAACATGCAGATCTAATTTATACTTGAACAGACTGCTTTGCTTTTCAAACAGAAATGTTACATCATACAGGTTTAGTCAGTTTCCTGACTAGCTTGTATACTTACCAATAAACTTGTTTTGCATAGTCTCTAGCAGGGCCTGGTGGGCATCTTCTGTTTGCAAAGCACGTGAACATTCTCTAGCCAGTATAGTCCGTACAAGGTGCTCTCCACAGCCTGTATAAACACCACCATCAAGCATGATTAGCACACAGCTACCACTCTGCAAGTATCCAGCAAAGCTGTATTTGACAGATATCTAAAAAAGAATATCAATTTTCCTCTAACATCCAGAGTCAACTATACTCAGTGGTAAAATTTCAAGCTTCATGGCAAAGATACTCTAAGATAAAAAGATGCAAAGTTTAAATACACAGAAAGGAAGCAATTAAGGTAAAACATTAGGAAAATCTCATTTTGTCTGACAGTCTTCATCACATCCTACCATCTTCACCCACATGTAGTCCTACTTGTCACTGTTCTTTTTTTGTGATATCTTTTATTGAACCAACTTATAGCTGTAAGAACTGAAACAAGCTTTGCAGTTTATGGCCAAAAGCTTGCCCAACTTCCCTCCCAACATGGTTGGTACAAAAAAGAGAATCACAAAAACCAAAAGCAAAACAAAACAAAAGCCCACCCTTACCTTAAGAAGAAAAAACCACTCACTGCTATTACATCAGTTGGTCTTTTCACCTATAGTTTTGCTGCTAGAATAGTTTATATACCTGTTACAACATTCCTTTAGTACAGGAGTGTCAAATTAACCTGTCCCCACACAAGGTCATTCCACAAGCCAGACCAGGCCCACAGATCCCCACTACCCCATGCTGATTGCAACGTACTTAGTGCCTGATCCAGCTGGTCCAGGAACTGTGCTGCACATGACACCTGCCACAGGTCTAGGACTAGCTGGGGGAAGGAAAGGGAGGATGCCAAATGTGACAGTCCAGCCACTTGGGCACCATAGCGTGGATCCCAGACCAACTGGAGCGGGCTCCACATGTGGTACACATCCTGAGTCCTGCCCATGGGTCCCCATCTGGCATGCACTACGTGAGTCAGTTTATATCCAGAAGTAACATCAGGGGCCTGATGATAGGGCTTCGTAAGCAGGATCTCAGACATCCCTGCTTTAGAGTAAGTGCAGTTTGGATCCAGTTGTATACTGCATGTTTACCATTTTCTTGGGCATGCAGGGGCATTTGTAATACCTTCCAGACTTGTATGAATCCATTACCTTCCTTTTCTGTATTGTAGACAGGCAGATTTTCCTCCCTTGGCAGGAAGACGATAGACCCAATAGAGTTCTAAACTGCCCCAATTATACTTATCTAAGGGAGTATAGGTTATCAGCCTTGTACCACATAAGAAAAAAGAAGAAAGTGTCTTTTCTAAAGAGTGAACAAATCCAGTCAATGTTTGGTATGGTGGTATAACAACTGTATTTCAACACCAAAAGAGAAAGCCTTTTGAAATAGCCTTTATTTCTTTTATTTGTTCAGTTTTTTTGTAGGCACACTGAAGTCCAATAATATTTTGCATTCACTTTATAAAATCTGTAGTAATGGCTTTTATTTTAAAAGGAAATCTACTCTTTTGTGGCTGGCTTACAGTATGCACCTTGAATGCTAAAGTAATGATAGCAGTGAAAGCTTTAGACAGGCAGCTTATTCTTGTAAAGCAGCACACTATTTCTGTGGTTTTGCCCACAAATTTTATGGCCTCTCAAACTTGTCTGCTTCAAAGTCTAAGAGCTATTCCAAAGCAAAGAAGGTTTCTACCTTGTTGCTTCAGAGAATAAAACTCTGGCTTAAACAACACCTGGTTCCATTGCTGGTGCACCAACAGAGACGAAAGTTGAAGTAGAAATGAGGCAACCTATTCTTTTTCTGGTGCAACTCCCCCCTCTTTAAATACAGTAACCCTGCAATCTAATCTTCCACAGTAAGACTGGAAGCCAAAAGCAAGATGTCCAAGGGTTATAAAACGTTCCTGTTACATGTATTAGTAGTTAAAGAATCAACAAACTTGATCACTCAGAACCTTGAATATACATGCCTCCCCCTCACCTAGTTTGCTACCCTTTATTCATCAAGACACATCTTAACTAAGGCCTGAGGTTGCACATACCTACCATATAGCACCCTCTACTGAAAACAAATCATGATATACTTTAGCTTTTGCAGGTTAAGTCACACAGCAACAAAGCAACTCCTAAGAAACAAGAACGAATTGCATATATACACTTATCCGAATCCTGTCAAAGTCTCAGTTCACAAGAAAATCCCTTTAAAATGTCACATTTCCAGGAAAGAATAAGGAGCAAAAATCATCTTTCATTAAGATCATACAATACAAAATGATAAACCCAGATACAAGTAGTTATTCAATAGACTGGCTTATTCTAACATTGAACTGAAGATGATAAAGCAGTCATAAGTCAAGCCATATGAAGAAGGGTCAAAGGAACTAGGTATATTTTACTTTGGGGGGGGGGAGGAAGGAAGGAAATTAGTGGAGGGCATGAAAGCAATTTTCAGATGTATAAATGGACTCCATAAAGAAAATGGTGAAAAAAACCTGTTCTCTCTCTTGCCACACAGAGAAGGACACACAGCAATGGGTTTAAACTACAGAACAACAGATTCATATCAAGTCTAAAAAAAAATACCCAAAAGAAAACAAAAAAAACCCCTTCCTAACTTTGAGAGCAGTGTGACAATATAACAAGCCACCTAGGAAAGAACAGCCTTTTCATTAGAAAGGGCACTTGTCTGCAATAATTTAGGTAAAGCAAAGCCTGGTCTAGAAGACACCTGAGGTCCCTTCCAAAACTACGCTGACCACGTTACTTCCCATGCCAAAGAAGTACTCAGCTATTAATGAATCCCAGAAAAACAGGGCCAAGAGGTCATGTAATTCAATCTTGTTCAAGGCAGGATGATCCCTGTCTAAAATCCTCCCTACACAAATGTTTGTCTAACCTGAACTTAAATCTTTCAAAATGAAGATCTCACAACCTTGCTAGATGATCAGTTCCAGTGCTTAACCACCCTCAGAGTCAGAAAATCAGAAATTATCCCATAATTATGAAAGGCAAAACAGTCTACAGAGGACATGGAAAACCCCAGAGGGGGCTAACAAAATGCATTTTGTCCACAACTCAGGTCTACATATTTCAGAACTAGAGAAACAAGGATTTGTTGTTTTGTTTGATTTGTTCAATCAGATTGAACAATTGTTGTTATATCAGCCTCTTAAATTGAAGAAATCCTGTTTCTCTTGAAATATATATATTTCTAATCCTTCACTTTAAATTCTTGCTCCAAATCTTTTGTAACCTTTCATAGAGCATGTTTGTGGATTCCCACCCCCCACCTTTGTTTTTTGAGGGTTTTTATTTGTTTGTTCATTTTTAATGCATTCCTGGCCATGCATGGACAAACTGCATCTTTTCCTACTTGGTAAGTAAGGCAGTCAACTCTAATGAATGAAAAGTGAGTACTTCTTTGCTCACAGCACTTACATTTCCATTCATGCAGATGCATTCATTTACACATGAAAAGTGATTCCAAAAATAATTTATGGTAAAATTCTCCAATTAAACTTAATGACCATTTTATCATTACAAAAGGCAACTTTTTCTTTACTTTTACTATTTAAAAATTGGAAAAACAACTTGGTTCTTGGGCATGCTTTTAAACAGCAAAATTTTGCTTTTTATGATGCAAAAAAGTACAATTTTGAGTCTGTGAATAAAGTAAAATTAGAAAAGTCACTTAGACAACTCTGTATTTCTGCAAGTTTGACTTCCTGCAGATGTTTTTAGTTCCAGATTTTGAAGAACCTCTGAAACTGGGCCTCAAAACAAGAGTAACCAACTTTAAACAAAATGTACAAATCTCATCTTTCCCTTAGAGAATGACTTTCTGCAAGAGCCATAACATTAATTTTGTTGCAAAAGTGAGACAGGAAACTGAAACTCCATTGTAAAAGAGCTGCAGTCCAATGACATTCTTGGAAAACCTACATTTAGAAAGAGAGAAAGGATCAACTATAAAGAAAATGAACTTACAATATTACTAACATACCACATATCCTCATGTCCCCAGAGATTAAGTGATTTTTTTCACATTCATGTCAACCTATTAATAAGGCAGTAAACTTAGAGTGTGCTGCTAGCAGTTCTTTTGGAAATCTTCCAACATACCACATGATTGCACTCTGTAGGGACAGAAAACTAATGAAAAGAGTATTTTCCCAATTTTAAAAGGAAACATTTGTTACTTCAGTTTTCAATGAAGCAACATCTATTTTTCAACAAGAAAAATTATTATACATAGTCCTTAATAGCTAAGTGCTGGGGGAAGAATTTTCTTGGCAATATAAAGTAACAAAGCTTGAAATCTAGCAAGTACTAGAACACTGCGTGCAGCCTCAGCAGCAGCCCCATATCTATCCAAACCTGAAAATGGTTAGGAATGAGTCAACAATACAGTAACATAGATAGAACAAGCAAATTGGTAGAGAACCTTTGTCTAGATTTTACAGCAGAAAGGTTTAGCATTCAAATTTGTGCTAAGTGCACTTAATTTAGATAGAACTGTTAATTCACTTTTGACAATTAAATCCATCTATTAGCAATGACAAGAAAGTACATTTTAAAAAAAGTTAGTAACCTTAGTCTAATTTGTTATCAATTTCTAAAAAAAACAGGATCATTCATGTGCTTAACTAGTTCACAGTACAATATTTCTAAGTGTATGCATTGTCACAGATTTATGGGACAGCCTCTGTGACATGCAGACTTCAAAAATGTGAAGAGTGCACTTTGGTTCCTCATAACTAGGAAAGGTAGCAAAAATATTCAAAGGCAATTTACACTGTAAGCTCTAAACCAAGTTAAAGGGGATATATAGCATAAATCATCCCATTTAACAAGTCTGAAAAGGATATGATTAAAAAAAGATACAAACCTGGTCACTGACAGAACAACAGAGTATCACAGAACTTTTGGATGGAAATGAGGATGCCAAGCAGAGGTTAGTTGGTGGAAAAGAAAAAGCACCAGCAGTATTACTCAATTATAAATACCCTCTGTTCTGTTTCAACCACATTATCAAGCACCAGGGGTTAGACAAAGCTACATTGTACTCTCCAGAACCATAATGATA